TATTTTTAGTTGGCCAATTAATTTCTATTTATAGTAGAGATGGGGGTCTCACTCTTGCTCAGGCTGGTTTCGAACTCCTGACCTCGAGCAATCCGCCCGCCTTGGCCTCCCAGAGTGCTAGGATTATAGGCATGAGCCACTGCACCTCTGTTAGCCTTTTAAATGTATCTAGAATTTGTAGTAATGTCCACTTTTATATATCATGAAACTATGTGACTTCTCTTATTTTTGTATAGAGATTTGTCTATTCGAGCTTTTTAAAGAACTGGAATTGGTTCCATCAATTTTCTCTACTGTTTGCTTCATTAATTTCTACTCTTATCTATATTTCCTTCCTTCTACTTACTTTGGGTTTACTTTTCTTTTTTAGCTTCTTAAAGTGAAAGCTTAGATAAACTGTTTAAACTTTACTTCCTTTCTGTTACAAACATTTAAATCTATAAATTTCCTTCTGAGTTTTAACAATGCATTTCAAAATTTTGATGTGGTTTTTATTAATTTCCCTTGTGATGTCTTCTTTGCCCATGGGTTATTTAGAAATATGTTTAGTTTCCAAATATCTGGAGCTTTGCTGAATATTTTACTATCATTTATTTCTAATTTAATTCCGGGGGGTTGGAATATATACTCTGTAAGATTTGATGCCTTTGAAATCTGTTGAGACCATCATACAGTCAGTCTTGGTGAATGTTCCATAGGCACTTGATAAGAATATGTATTATAGTTAGTGGGTATAGTGTCTTATAAATGTCCGTTAACTCAAGTTGGATCATAATATTATTCAAAATGTATATTATTTTCTTTGGATATTCTATCAGTTACTGAGAAAGTATTGTTTAAATTTCCAACTATGCTTGTAGGTTTCTCTCTTCGGTTGTCAGTTTTTAGTGCTTCATGTATTTTGAAGCTGTTATTAGTTATATACACATTTATGTTTAAAGTGTACCCCTTATAGATAGCATATAGTTGGTTTATGTTTTTTTAAAAATAGACTTTAGAGCAGTTTTAAGTTCACAGAAAAATTGAGCAGGAAGTGCAAAGAGCTCACACACATCCCATGTGTGTGTGCGAGCAGGCGTGTGCATGCATGCACAGACACGGCATCCCCACTGCCAACATCCCACACCAGAGTGGTGTGTTTGTTACAACTGGCGAACCCACATTGATACATCTTTATCACTCAAAGTCCACGTCATATTAGTCCACATTCATTCTTGGTGTTGTATTTTATAATCTATGGGTTTTGACAAATGTATAATGATATAAATTCACCAGTATAGCATCACAAAGAATAGTCTCCCTGCCCTAAAAATTGTCTGTGTTCCACCCATTCATCTAACCTTCCTCCATAAACCCTGGAAACCACTGGTCTTTGTACTGTCTCCAAAGTTTGGCCTTTCCAAAATGTCATATGGTTGTAATCATCATACAGTATGTAGCCATTTCAGACTGACTTAATTTAGTAATATGCATTTAAGATTCCTCCTTTCTTTCCATGGCTTGATAACTCATTTCTTTCTAACACTCAAGAATATCCCATTGTATAGATATACTACAGTTTATCCAACTGAAGGACATGGTGGTTGCTTTTAAGTTTTGGCAATTATGAATAAAGCTGCTAGACATCCCTGCGTAGATTTTTGCATGGATGTAAGTTTTCAATTCACTTGGGTAAATACCAAGAGGCACAATTACTGGATCATATGGTAAGAATATACTTAGTTTTGTAAGAAACTACCAAACTGTCTTCCAAAGTGACTGTACCTTTTTGTATTTCACTAATGAGTTCTGTTGCTCCACATTCTACTAGCATTTGGTGGTGTCAGTGTTTTAGGTTTCGCTATTATATCACTGTTGTTTTGTGATTCCTTAATGAAACAATGTTGAACATTTTTCTATATGCTTATTTGCCATCTGTATGTCTTCTTCAGATCTTCTGCCCATTTTTTAACTAGGCTGGCCAGAGTTTTGTATACTATAGATAACAATCTTTTATTGTTAAAAGCCTATCTTTTATGAAATAGGCTTTTACAATATTTCCTCCCCATCTGACACTTGTCTTCTCATATTTTTGACCATGTATTATGTAGAGCAGAAGTCTTAAGTTTTAGTGAAGTCCAACTTAATTATTTCTTTCATGGATCATGCCTTAGGTGTAGAATCTAAAGGTCATTGCCAACCCAAGATCATCTAGATTTTCTCCTGTGTTATTTTCTAGGAGTGGTATAGTTTTGTGTTTTATATTTATTAATAGGTCTGTGATCTATTTTGAGTTATTTTTTGTGAAGGGTGTTAAGATCTGTGTCTGTTTTTTTTGGTATGTGGATATTCAGTTGTTCCAGAACTACTATTTAGTGAAAAGACTGTCTTTCTTCCATTATATTGCTTTTGCCAAAGATCAGTTGACTATATTTGTGTGGTTTAGATCTTGTTTTTTAACTAGTCTGATCATCTCTCCCTTTCAGTGGTTATTTTTAGTCCATTTCTTTTCAAATAATTTTCTTATATGGAAGGTAGTCACTTTGCTATTTGTTTTCTAATTGTCCCATTTTTTTTTCCTAATTCCTCATTGTAAGTCATACTTGCATTACCTCTTTAGTGGTTGCTCTGTTCAATTTTTAAGAACCTTTCCTCCCAGTTTTCAGATTGGGCAAATCTATAGATTTATATTTATATTCAAGTTCATGAATCTTTTCATTTGTAATATTCAATAACCCATACAATCAATTTTTCATTTCAGATATTGTACATTTTAGTTCTAGGTTTTCATTTTTATTTTAGTTTCCATTTCTCTGACATTATTTGTTCACTATAATTGTTTTTTCCTTTATGTTCTAGTATATTTAAATAGGTACCTTGAAGTTCTATTTTTTTTCTTGATTGTGGCTCACATTTTCTTGCTTCTTTATATGGCAGTTTTTTTATTGATTTATAGACATTGTGAATAACACCTTGTAGCGAGTCTGGATCATGTTATCTTTTATTGTTTTAGAGTGGGACTATTTCTATTCGAATTTAGTAGAATATGGCTCATAGGCTAGCTGGCTGTTTTTGTAAATGAAATTTTATTGGAATATAGTCACACCCATTTGTTTATATATTTTCTGTGGCTACTTTTGTGCTACAACATCAGAGCTCAATAGTTGTGAAGTAGACCATATGTGCCTTAGCCCATTCAGGCCACTGTAACAAAATACCATAAACTAGGTGTTTGTAAACAACATAAAGTTATTTCTCATAGTTTTATAGGCTAGGAAGTCCAATATGAAGGAACTGGCATATTTGGTGAGAGCCCACTTCCTGGTTCATATATGGCCAGCTTCTCAGTGTTCTCACATGATGGTGGGGACAAGGGAGCTCTCTGGGGTTGGGATTTCAACATATGGGGAGGGGGGCATAAACATTCAGTGTATAGCAATATGATTCACAAACCTAAGTTATATGCTCTCTAGCCCTTTAAGAAAACATTTGCCAACCCCTGCTCTAAAGTATGCTCCCGACTCCTAGGATGGTGTCACATTTCTTAGTAACTAAAAGCCTTAAATGTTCAATGAGATTTCTCCACTCTGGCTGAAACTCCAAGGATTCCCAATACTGTATAACTTCTGGTATCACTGTTCAACTCTAAGTCTCAGAACAAGTAATTTTTTGCTTATAGATCCTTATAGATCTTATATAGGTTATATATAGATCTTATATAAGATCTTATATAGGTCTTATAGATCCTTATCCTGCATATGCACATCCCACCCCACAAACAAGTACCACGCAAATTTCTGCCTCCCTCCCCAAGGTTCTCTTTTCTCTTGAACTGTCTTATAAATTCCAGTTGCTTCAGTAACCGAAACCTCTGCATCTTCAACTTAGAATTGCCGCTCAACCTCCCCGTGATAATGCTGGAAGATACCCCCAAGCAGAACCATAGGACGATCAATTGTGGGATTTAACATCTTGTGTGTCCCTTCTTAGGAATCAGTCTTGCGTTGCCTGTTTCAGGTTCAATGCCTGAAAATACCTGCTGACATATTTTGTTTGGGTTTAAAATTATTTTGGGGTGAAAGTACAAATCTGGCACTACTTAAGAAAAAGCTGCTTTTGCAAAACCAAAGATCGCAGAAAATACAGGATATTCTGATTTCACTGACTTTTTTAAGTAAATTTTTCAGGTTAACTATGTCCAATTCCCTTAACCATCCCTCATAGTACAAAATAGATACTATGGTAAATCATGATACTGTTTTAAGTCCTTTCTTAAGAGAAGTTCATTCAGTGGCAACACCACTTGGGAAAGGTTAGAAGGAACATCACAAGCATTGTAGCCCACTTACCATCCAAACACCAAACAAGGGTAAGAATGAGATATTTAGGAGGAAAAAATCTTTAAGCTTATTTTAATCTGAGCTTTTCATTTATTTTCATAGAGAATTCATAAGAAAAAATAGGTGCCTTTGCTATGTCTAACCTGTGTTGTTTAGAGTTGGCACTAGTGTAAAAGCCATCATTTTTTGCTACTCTTTGAGTTGTAAATATCATACCAGGGGAGAAAGCCTGACTCTAATTGAAGTTTGGGACAGGAGGAAATTTTGATATGCTGATTTCCTTTGGCAGTATAGATCAGGGGTCAGCAAACATCTTCTGTAAAGGGCCAGACAGTAAATATTAGAAGCTTTGTGGGCCACATGGTCTGTCACAACTATTCAATTCTGCCACTGTAGCATGAAAGCAACCACAGACAGTATGTAAACAAATTAGCATGCCTGTGTTCTAATAAACTTTATTTACAAAAACAGGCTGCTGGAATTTGATCCAAGAGCTATTTGCTGACCCTTGGTATAGATAAATAAATCTAAGCTAGAAAAAGCTTAATTGTTTGCAGTTTTATAAAGTTTTCAAGATCTTTATTTGTTGAGTGATTATCTTTTTCTATTGATAAGATAAAGCTGTTGTTACATTATTTTGCATTCCATAACTTTAAAATGAAACCTCCCTTTTCTTGACAGATAAACACTACACGTGAAGAGTTTTGAAAGAAAACATCGATTACTGAAGTGACCCGGAGAGGGAAAGCATTGGTCAACATCACGTGGATGAACTGTCTTGTTTTCTAAAGATGCTACTGAAATAGTTATTGCTACTGCTTTCCTTCATTAGTCAAAGCTCTTTGTAACATGGGCTGTATGAAATCAAAGCAAACTTTCCCATTTCCTACGCCCTTTGAAGATGAGAAGCAGCGTGAGAGTGGAGAAAGCTTTATGCCAGGAGGGAGACTTCTACCTAGGATGCCTTCTTCAATTACTGTCAAAGAAGAAGTGCAGCAACCCTCGGGGATCAATCCTGTGATCCTTGAATATGCACACCGCCTGTCCCAGGAAATCTTGCGTGATGCCTTGAACCAATGGGCATTCAATAACATCACGTACTATGACATCCCATACATCGAGTGTGAGGAGCCTGATGATGCTGTAGGATGATGACACTTTCTTGAATGCATATATAGTTGGTGCTAGCTTAAATACATGGAAAAAAAGCAAAAACTGGTGTGAATAACTACAAATAACTCCATCTGGTTGTAAAACATGTCTATGATAATAATATCACTTGTGTAAGAATACCTAAGATGAAATATGTTTTAAGCAGTTCTATGTTGACAGCACTTTCTCTCCGGGCTTGGGTTAAGGGCTGAACGGAAGTCCTATGGCACCTGGTAATCAGCTGTATGTCACAGCACTTTCTTCCTGAGGCAGTAATGATATCACCAAAGAAAATGCTGAGGAATAATAAGTGCCCCCAAGTTCCAAATGGCTAAAGACACTCCTTTAAAATAAAATTTCTGTTAATTCACACCCCCAAAAAAACCCCAGATATAGAGTTTTCTCAAAATGCCTTAGCAAGAAAATGGCACGTAAGCCCTAGAGATCAGCAGTGGGTATCATTTGTCAAAACCATTTGTGTCAGGATCTCCACTTCTTAACACAAATGATCCAGCATTAGAAAGCAACCCATGTAGAAGTGGTCCACCTTGAACCCTGTCTTTAATAATTTATTTATTTTTATAGATGAAAAGCATAACCACCAACCTTGAACTTCAGGGCCCTAAACAGCTACAGCTGTTACTGGATGACTTAAGACATTGCATATAAAACCATCTTAAAAAGATAATGATTTACAGAAGCCATAACATTAATATTTATTGCATTGAATTAATAAGAAGCCCAGTGATATAACCATACAAAGAAAACAAGTATGGGTACCTTTTATAAACAGCAATCCAGTAAATCTTAAAAATAAGCAGCCTACCTGCAAAGTAGAAAGCAAAACCTGGCATCAGTACTAACTGTATATAAGTTTTACTGCCTCTGATACAGAGGGCTGGAGTATGGGCCCAGATAATGCATGAGTATTTATAATTGTATTACAAGACAGAACACTCTTTTCGAGGAGAGTATTCATGATTTTTTTTAGTGGTAATACATGCCTATAAGACATTTATAGCCATCTGCCATACTAGTTTGATGAATCTGGCTATCTTTCAGGGAAGGGGAAGTCTTTCCTTTTTCTTATTACTGTTGCAACACACACATACTTTTTAAAAGGATTAAATATTGATTAAAGATAGGTGATTTAAAAAATTGTGGGGAAGATATAACTTGTAGGAAAATTGGGACTGAGCTTCTAGAATAATCTTTTCATCAAGATTTGCTACACATTGAGTTTAAATGGAAATTAAGCCTCCGTATGTTAGATCCTTTTATTAATACACCATTGTTATTGAAATCTAAAAGGAGGCAGAAAAAGGCTTGACCTTTTTAATGAGATAAATACGTATATGAAATCATAAGCAGGTAGGAATGCTACCTTTAATTTTAGCAATACTTTGAAACCCACCATCAGAGTGAATTCCCTAAGTTACACGAGCAAAGTTATTTGAAATGAGTGATGTGCCGCTGGACACCTCATCATTCAACTTTAATTCTATCTAGTCCCAGGATTTACACTGTCCCACTGTACTTTCAGTCTAGCAACTTATAGAAAAGCAACCATTCCTCTTCATATAAGGATCTGAAATCATCAGGCTAAGGGCACAAAGTTTCCCATAAGTATAAAACATTTCCAGGTCATGAAGAGAAGTTTAGGTTTTTGAGTGTTTCCTCAGACAAAAGCTTACATGTGGTGGTTTTTCATTCATTTTATATCTCATGTCAGGATATTTGCTGGAAGGTTATTTGCTATGTTTAAAAGATATAATTAGGTATGTGGAATAGTAAGTATTATGGTGAGGACACAGAGCCACATAAAGCAGCAGGTCCCATTAAATTTGTCAGTATACACAGGGATAGTGACTAGCAGGTGTTGGTTATATCTAAACATTTCAACTTCAGGTTCCTTCTCTGCCCTGGGCCCTTAGCTCCCATGGGTGTAACAGGGATGCCTTGCAGATCCATATCTAGCAAGAAGTCTAATCCCTGTTGCTACCCTCTCTCAGCAGCTATGCCAGTATAGTTTTGTCACTGAGAACCCACTCTTGTGCCCCTGAATAATATTTTAATAGAGTATATCTTGCGTACAATATTTCCAAGAGACTTATCTTTGAAATATATGCTGCACTATATGCCAGTGAATGAACAAGCAACTACAAGACTTGCATAATCAACTAATAGATAAACCAAGTTGGGGGCAGGTGGGAGCTAAAAAAACAAATTTGTACTATATATGATAGTCATCTCATCACAATATAGTTTGACCTAATGACAAGATGGATAAGAATATCTTTGATAGGATAATTAGCCTTCTGTTATATGTTTATATTGAAATATTGGTTTACTTCATTTTAAAGGTCTTTTATGAATAAAAAAGTAGGTCTATTGAGAGGGAAGGAAACATAGCATAGAAGACCGAAAGAATTTTTAGCTACTGGAAAGGCAAACATTTGGAACATTTAGTGTAAGGGCAAGTGACCCTCTACCAGCACAACAAAGAACCTCCAGGTGGCAACTGTGGAAACAGATTACCAGAGAAAATAAAAGTGCCAATTCCTTATTTACAGAGACTTACCTAACCCCACAAACATGCTTCCCTGCTGCCTTTCGCAGTTGTTACATTTCAGTTACATGCCTTTGATCCAAGAATTCTCCACTTTTAGTTGCCTTATCAGTTCTTTGCAAACAAACTGCCTGTGATTGTTAGCACTTAAAGCACAATTTTGAAGGGGACAAAAAACAATTATCATCTTAGTCCCACAGGAATATTTTGTGTCAAACTGCCTTATTAGTATTAAAAACAGACACACTGAATGAATAAAGTAGCATAATACTCATATCCTACTTGAGATCATTGACATTTTATGAGATGAGGAAAGTATACTTTTGTATTACATAGTTTTAAAAATCAAAAGTTACAGATACTTCGTAAGTAATGTCAAGAAATAGCAATTTAAAAGCAAAGTTTTAACAAATGCTTTGTTTGCTTAATCATAATGCCCTCCTTCTACATTTGAATGACCAAATAGGACATGTCTTCCATGGCACAATGGGCTCAGAAGTACTACCTACATGTTAATTTATAAAACTCAAGTTTTATTAACAGATTCTTTTCTCTGTAGGACTTAGCTATGAAGTGGTATATTTTTTCCAAATATTTTTGTGAAAACGTTTTTTGTAACTGTACAATAAAAGTCCAGTTGCAATTAACTAGCTATGAGTTCTTATTTAACTAAAGGCAAATACTTTTAAACATTACACATTATACTTTCAAATCTTTTAACATAAAAAACACATTTTGTGCATTGATAACAAATGTGAAAGTGAATAAAAATCCATTTATACAAATAATTTCTTGGATCATTCAGGTCCAGTTTAGGAGTTTTAAGAATATACATGAAAACATGTTCAATATCATGGCATCTTTACTCCAGATCTGTTCCTGAATTTTTCAGAAGGAAAATGCTTCATGTAAAATAGATTAAGAACTGAGAAAATGTAAACAAATATCTTCTGGGCTGCAATGCAATTTTCTCCTTTATAAGAAGGGTACAGGAAATAATCTTTTATTTATCTTTCAGCTCTGTTGGCTTTTTGTTCTTACAAACCCAAAGTTTATTAGTTTCTAAGGGGTATGAGATGAAGGATAAACTATAACAAGTTACAAAATAAATGATTAACTGACCTTTAAAAATTACTCTTACCTAGAACTTTGGGTCTATAACATCTTGCAGTTTCTTGTATACCTTTAAAAAACACTTGTCAACAATACCAATTATTGAAGCTATATTTTGAACAAGTCTTTTCAATTAATATTTTCCCCTGATTTGCACATTATGTAAGTACAATTAATTTATCACACATAAGTCTGATGTAAATTACAAAAAGCAGAATGTCTCTATCTTAGAGATGGGCAGTTTCCTAATTTCTCATTATGCCAGAGTAACAAATGTTGCAAATAACAAGAAATAATGCTTTCACTTTTACCCTGAGAAGGTATTCTGATTACATGAAGGCAAAGGATGAGTTAATCATACTAGAGAGATAGCTTCATAAAAACCTTTTCTCTTTGCCCAAGATTTCTAATGTTTATAAAAGGAGCTCTTCTGCTACAGTAACCCAACTATTTAAAAATACACTCTTATATATGGAGGAAATTCTATGAGGCATTAACACAGTATCCCCAAAAAACCTTTCAGCGTATTTTTGATAATCTATACCTAAGTTTATTTAATCAACATATAAACCACTACCAAAAGCCACACATAGTTCCCATTTCAATTAGATATACTAACTCAAGAGAATCTTTAATGACCTTTGAATTTTCCCATCTTTTAAAATAGGGGTTGGCAAACTCTTTCAGACAAGAACCAGACAGTGAATATTTTAGGCTTTGTAGGCCATCCAATCTCTGTTGTAACTACTCAATTCAAAGTAGCAACAGATAATATGTAAAACATGAGGATAGCTATGTTCTAATAAAGCTTTATTTGTGAACTCTGATATCTAAATTTCATGTAAGTTTCACAAATCATAAAATATTAATTTCTGATTCTTTTCCCAACTATTTTAAAATACATAAACCATTCTTAGCTTGCAAGCTATATAAAAACAGGCAGTAAGTTAGATTTGGCCCATATGCTGTAGTTTGCCAACCACTGCTCCAAAATATACCTGGAAAAGGCCAATCACCTCAAAACTTCAAATCACTACTTCCTAGAGACTTAAAGTGATTATTCACATCTTCATCAGTAACTCCTTTTAGATCAGCTGGTTTCCACTTTGGACTCTGGTCTTTATCAATTAAAACTGTCAAGAGAAGATACAGATGTCAGTACATTTCTCTCTTGTATTACCAGATTTTAATTACTGAATTGACAGAAACTACCTTGTACTAGGCATATTTTTTATATAGCACTTTTTTCACCCAAAGTTTTTGCATATATTCTATTTTTCTTTTAAATTAAACCCCCAAGGAATTTGTATAGATAGCATTATACTTTTCATGACTGGTGTGAATATTTTCTAACTTTCTAAGCCTCACATCTAGCTTTAATAAAGCCTACTTAACTAATCCAGCAGTTGAAACATTAGAACTCTTTATTCTTCTTCAAATAAAATCGTAAATGAAACCTCCATGTTACAAAACAGCTAACACCAGAGTTGGTGTGGTTTAAAAGGAAGGCAGCAGAGGGCAGAGGTCCCAGATGAGCTACCTATCCTCCTCCACACATTGGGTATGGCAGGAAAATTAATCACTTAAGGTAGAGAGAAGGGGACTTTATACATAATTAAATGTGGATATTGTGGTTCTGCTGAATACTCCAGTTCAGACAGCTCTGAGTTTAAAAGTCAACCACCTTCAGGTCATCACAAAACCTTTTATTTCTCCTATTTCAGTGTAGTCATCACTTAGTGCAGCCACATAGTATCCCCACAGGATTGTAAGTCTGAGACAGTTTGTAACCTCTCTTATTACAGGGAGGGCAACGTCCATTTCCTGGTTGTGAAACTATACTGTAGTTACACATATGTTATTTTGGAAATGAGGTGGGGGGTATGCAGGATCTCTTATATTATTTCTTACAACTGCCTGTGAATCTACAATTATCTCAAAACTTTTTTTTTTTAAAGGTATGGTTGTAGCAGCAAATTTCCAACCATGCTTAAAATGTACATAATTCTTGCAAAGAATGGAAATATTTAAATATGCAAACACTATAGTGAAATAGGAAAATCTAATTTAGCATTCAAAGGCTAAATAGTTAAAAAGCAGCAGGATGGAATCCAAGGAAGGAAGACTGCCTTGGTAGGCAGAAGGAAGCTTATATGCAATTAAATGTGATACTGGAGGTTTTTAAGGTTTGGCTGCCTATACTATGAGATTCTGGTATTGGCTCAGTGGTGATATTAAACACTGATGTTCTGATCCCTACCAATTTGAAAGTTTTATATATTCACTGGTCAGTATAAACAAAGAGCAAAGGACATTCTTTCCACAAGAATCTCTTCCTCTTTAAGTGTTCTGGCCAATACGATCTACCTCCTTGAGATCCCAATGAAGAGCAAAAAAAAAAAGAGAATATTAATCAAATCTATGTTATTTTATTTCAAGCAAACAAAATTTTTTTAGCTAAAATAGATATAGCTTAAGTTCTTGCCATGTAGGCAGCTCAAGTTTTTCAGAAGGTCTCCCAAGATACCCATTCAAACTCCATTTGGTAACTATCTAGGCTCTACTAAAATAGCCCATTTTCTTCTATACCAGAAGTAGTTTGCTGTAGATGTTAAGAGTAAGAATTTTTAATAACTATTTCCCTAATTTGCTAGCTTATTTTATTTGATATGCTAACACATTTTTATAATTAGCAAATCATAGCAAACATTTGATTATGTAAGAACACTAAACAGTTTTACACAGGATATTGCTTTCTGAATAAACAGGCTATGCTGAAAGAGGAGGCAATATATTTTATCTTCATTAAAAAGTAGCATGATAAGCACTTGCTTTATGAATCAGAACTTTGGTGCTTCTTGGTTTTAACTTTTTCCTTAAAATAACTGAGAGTACTTACCTGAAAACAATACCTTTCTTTATTAAGAAGTACTGTTATAACATATAATGAATACTTTAGCAATATAACCCAAGCCCCATACAAGTTCCCTAAAATTAGAGGTCTAGGCTATAATCTGCATGCATCAAGAATTTGCAGAGATTAGTGGGAAAAATGCATATTTTACTTTTTCTATAAAACCAAGTAAAACCAGCCTCTGACTCAACCCCATGTGTCTTCTAAAAGGGTTTGAATTAAGTGCTTATTTTTCATATATCATGTGATTGGTGTTCATAAAAGCTTAGAGCTCAGAGAACGTAACCTTTTATTCAGACAAAAAAGTATAACCAGAGTCTGTACTATATTAATATGATTAATAAAAACATAATTAAATTAGATATGCAAAGTGCATATAGAAGGAAATAACTTGTTTTATATATATAAATAACAGCTCTATATAGGCATATGTGTTACACATAAAAAGGATTTGTTACAAGTTTGCTAGAAAAAAGCAACCACTTGCTTTCTCTAAATATTCTGACTTTGAAAATAAGCAAAAATGGAAAGTATTAATAAGAACATCAGCAAATGTTACTAATTATGTCATATGTTTTTCCCCCAGCAATGTTTAACTGCTCAAGTACAGGCAAGAAGGTGGATAATAGGGTTTAACCATTGCTTGATTTTGCCAGGCCAGGACAAAACAGGGAGGAAGGGTAGGAGACTTGAGGGCTTTTTGCAGGGGAATAAATGCATGTTTTAAAAGCCTCAGTAGCAGGATGAGTTCCCAAATTTACACTGCACTTATCAGAGGTGCAGAATTATCATAGAAGCAGAATTACCTCTTAGCATATAAATTAGGGAGCAGTGCCACAGTATGTGAATTTTTTTAAATAATAGTAGTTTCAAGGACTGATCTTGCCTCATATGCCAGATGGTAATATTTTTTAAAAACACACAATTTTGCAAACTTTATAAAGGTTTGATTTCACTAAAAATAACAACTTAATAACTATAACTATTTAATAACTATAAATAAAATAACTATTTAAAAATAAATAATAAGGTTGATTATCCCTTGTCCAAAATGCTTGGGACCAGAAGTGTTTCAGATTTTGGAATACTTGCATCATACTTATGCTCCAATGGGTATGTCCTTTGAGTGTCATGTCAACACTCAAAAATTTTTGGATTCTGGAGCGTTTAAGATTTCAGATTTTTGGATATGAGATGTGCAACCTTTATCATCTTTAATTAATAATAGTACATGCTCACAAATCTATTTCCCTAATAGCCAGGAAGGAAACACAACTATTTGTCACTTACCAGCTCTAACGCCTTCACCAAAGTCATGACCTCCCTGAAAGAAAATTGAGATTAAAGGGGAGTAATTTCTAGGTATTCTTATTCCTGGTGATCATCTCTCTCCTCCACCCACTTCAGCCTCCCACTCTCATGGCCACAACCTGAACCATGACATTCAGAGAGTGGGATATCAGAAATCCCAGCACCAGCTGAACCCTAACATGTACTCTGCCTACATTTGAGCAGCTAAATCTTGCTACAGAAAATCATACAATTGTGACTCGTTCCATTTAAAATTCATGATCACAAATCTCAAACAGGCATGGAAAACTGAACAATCCATGATATCTTCCACACTCCCAAAGATAATGATTTAAACTGTTTTCTCCCCTCTTAAGCTCTACCCCTAGAGCACACTCTACTCTTACTACAAGATACAAAGTCTTGTCTTCCTACCACTAAAACACCTGCAGCTAACTACACCTGTCTTCCCTTTCATGACTATGGAGGAAGAAATCATTCCCCTTTCAAAGGCCAGTCCTCATCTACTCTCCAATTCCCATCCCCTCTTGCCTCCTCAAGGGATTATCCACGTGTCCTCCTTTTCCTGGCATCATCAATGTAGACAATACAACTGAGCAGCTGAGTGCTTATAGTTCAAATGCCTGGATTCACATCCTCGTTCTACTACGTAGTAACCATGTGTCCTTGGGCTAGTAGTTTTGCTAACCCCCCATTTCCTTACATGAAATGGCAATATCAACATCATCAGATTATTTTAATCCACATCCCAGTACAGTGTCCGGCACATAGCAAGTGTTCGGCAAATGTTAACTATTATTATCAATCTCTACTGGATCATTCCCAACCATTTACAATGATGTTCTGGTACTTTCCATCTTACAAAATAAAAAAGAAACCTCACTTGATTCCACAGTCCCACCATCTACCCCATTTCTGTTTCAAGAGGAGTTGTGTACACATATTGTCTCTACTTCTTCACATCCCATTTTCTCACTTCCTCTCCAACTTACTGCACTTAAATATCTGCCACCACCACTCCTCTAAAATGGCTTGCCAACAACACCTACAACTTCAGTGTCGTCAAGTTCAAAGGACACTTCTAACTTCATCTATAGACACTTTGGCAGTATTCAACAATGTTCATCACTCTCTCCTCCCCAAAACATTTCTCTCCTGCTTTGTGACACCACATTCTCCTGGTTCTCCTACCTCTCAGTCCTTTTTTCCCCTCCCTCTGCTCTTTCTGTATCCCACCACAAAATGTTGAAGCTCTTCGGGGCTCAGCTCTGGTCTCTTTCATTTTCTTTCTATGGGATCTTATCCATTCAGTGCTCAACACATGACCTTGGTGATCAGTTCTGTTAAAGTAGAAGATCACGGCATTCCTCTGCTCAAAACCATCCAGTGGCTTTCCATTTTACTCAGGACAAAAGCGAAAGTCCTTACAGACCCCTTCATGGCCCTGTACACTCTGCACAACAGCCCTTCCCTACATTGCTCTCTCTGGCCTCATCTCTCACTTTCCACCCCTCTGCACAGCCTCCTCACCATTCCTAACGCAGGTGGGCACATTCCTGCCTCAGAGCTTTGTACCTGTGGTCCCCTCTGCCTGGGATGTTTTTCTTCCAGACACTTGCATGGCTTACTTCCTCACTTCTTTAAAATCTTCACTCAAAGAATATCTCAGTGAGGTCTCCTCTGGTCATTCTGTCTACATTCTATATCCCATCCTCCTTGATTATTTGTTCTTAGTATTTGTAATTATATACTATATATTTTATGTATTTATCTTTTTTACAGTCTATTTCTCCACTATACAGTAAGTGTTCCATTAGGGTAGGGGTCTTGTGTGTTTTGTTTACCTATGTATTCTCAGTCCAACAGTGCCTAGCACATAGTAAGCACTCTTCTTTAGTAAACAAATTCCCAAGGTATTTTTTTAATTGATGCTAGTGTCTTTCAGACTTAATCTCTAACTCATACCTCTAAGCTCCAACTCCTAAACGTATTCTCTCCCTCATATCCATCATCAAATCCTATCAATTCTATTTCCATTTATCTCAAATTTATTTCTCTCCATTGCCAGCATGCTACTCTAGTCTAAACCACTACTATTTTACTCCTAGATCACTGTAGTAAGCTCATGTCAGGTCTGTACATCCACTGTTTTTTATTTTGTGAGACAAGGTCTCGCTCTGTTGCCCAGGCAAGAGTGCAGTGACATCATCATACTCATTACATCCTCAAACTCCTGGGCTCAAGCAATCCTCCTGCCCCAGCCTCCTGAGTAGCTGGGACTACATGTGTGTGTCACCATGGGCCAGCTGATACATCTACTCTTGAACCCCTCCCTATCTCCACTCAGCCATAATTTCCTTCTTAAAGCAAATCAAATCAAATGAAAAATAAAATCACTCCTTATTAAACCCAACAAGCTTTTTCAACATACTCATTTCTCCTCCTTTAGGTCACAGATCTCAAAGATGTCTTCCCCGACCTACTTAAAGCAGGCTTCCCTTTGCCTCCCAACTCCCTCTTGTCCCTGGCATCATTCTCTTCTGTTACCAACCCTGTGTGTTTCCTTTAGAGCACTTACCACAATTTATAATTATTTTATACTTATTTTGTTTACTTGTTCTTTACAGTCTCAGTAGACTAAACGCCATGAAAACGAAGCACTGGTTTTTTTTGTTTGTTTTTTAAAGATGAGGTGTCAGTCTGTTACCCTACACTAGAGTGCAGTGTGGCACGATTACAGCTCACTGCAGCCTCAAACTCCTGGGCTCAAGTAATCCTTCTGCCTCAGTCTCCTGAGTACCTGGAACTATATATGCTCACGCCACCACACTCGGCTATTTATTTTTATTTTTTGTAGAGACAGGGTTTCAGTATGTTGCATAGTCTGATCTTGAACTCTTGGCCTCAAGGGATCCTTCCCCCTTCAGCCTCTGAAAGTGCTGGTATTACAGGTGTAAGATTGAAGGGCCAAATCTATCTATTTTCAAACTTGCCTATCTTTAAAAAATTCCTTTTCTAACCAATATTTTACTGTGAAACTTAAAAAATACGAGAAACTTTAAAAGATTTATGAGCAAAAGTTATCTGAAAAGAAATTTAGAAGAAAGAGGCTATTCTATTATGTAGTTTGCAAACCAGTAGACATAACCTTTGGTTTAAAACAAAGGCTTTCTTCCAGAGAACAGAGGGAGGGTTTACCTTTTATAAAAGCAGTTTCCACCCAGGTTCCCACTCAGGTCTCGGGACCGTTTTCTTATTCAACAACATAACCCTAACATTTAGCACAGTGCCTGGTACATAATTAACATGTCTGCTGAGAGGATGAAGGAAGGAATCAATCAATCTAGGCAATGCACTAAAAGTGCAATGGGAACTGTGGACTGACTGTGTGAGGTATGCAGGAGAGTGGCCAAGAGCACTGGCACTAGAGTAAGACTGCCTGGCTTCACACGCCATGTCTCTGCCACTTAACAGCTGCATGACCTTAGGAAGGGTACTTCTCTATGCCACAGTGTCCTCATCTGTAACATGGAGACAATCATAGTACCTATCCTTCTAGAGCTACTGTGAGATTTAACAGAGAGAATGCACATAGAGTGCCTAGCATAGTACGTGCACATAATAAACACTCAACAGACCTCAGCTGCCATTTACATCCTATAAGAGTAAGTTTAAGACACTGCAACTAGAGCTTTATTTCTAATTAGATGAAATGCTTTAAGTATCTTAATAACTATTTCAAGACATTAAAGTATATTGGGGGTATATTAGTATATTAAAGTATATTAGGGGGCTGGATGTGGTGGCTCACACCTGTAATCCTAACACTCTGGGAGGTTGAGGCAGGAGGACTGCTTGAGAGGAGAAGTTCGATATCAATCTGATCAAGAGTGAGACCTCATCTCTATTAAAAATAGAAAAAATTAGCCAGGTGTGGTGGTGTACACCTGTAGTCCCAGCTACTCGGGACGCTGAGGTAGGAGGATCACTTGAGCCCATGAGTTTGAGGTTGCTGTGAGCTAGGCTGATGCCAGGGCACTCTAACACAATGACAGTGAGAAACTTTGTCTCTAAAAAAAAAAAGTATATTAGGAATGTCTGCCTGCTGGTTATTAAACAAATATTCCCTTTAGTCTGTAAGTTTATTAATCTAAAGGCTTAATAAAAATCTGGGTAGCAGTATTTCCACACAGTTAAAGCTAACTGGCCTGTTGTGTTTTCGTAAATGTACAGGTATTAAAATTTTTAATTTTCATGTTTATATTGAATGTATTTTACATGTTCTACAATGAACACTTACTACTTTCATAACTAACAATGACAATTTAAAAAAAATCTTACCATACAAGCTTGACTTAGCCGATACTCCATAGTTAATACTTCCTGCAAGGTCTTTGAAGACCCCTCCATGAGTTGCCTTAGTGTGATCTTTAGAGAGGTTGGAGACATCTTATTAATTACCTTTTAGAGGGAAAAATACTAGTTTTAGCCCAGCAGCTCCTTTATTGTCTATAATAAACTGTATTTCCATATAAATCATATTAAAATATGCCCCTTAATAGTACTTTCATATGCCAAAGTCTCATAAAAGATTATACCTTAACTTAATTCTGCCAAAGCAACAAATAAGTTTTCTAATCTATTACAAAAACATTATTCCACCAGACAGAATAAATTCTGTCCCTATAACTTAAGCAATAAAATAAACCTACATTTGTAGTTTGCCTGGCATGAATTATGATCCCAACTAGCTAATTAATAAAATCAATACACATATTATAAGCTACTCATATTCACAGAGGACATTTAGTTTTATAATGTAAAGAAGGTGAAGGAGTAGTGATACACATCTTCATTCCCAATTTGTGGCTAAGAAGAAATGTCATAACTCTAGTCTTCACCTAAAAATAAATCTACTTACCCTGGAAGTAAGGAGAGAAAAGAAGTTACTGTGAGGCATTCTTTTATGGCATTTAATAAAATAAGAATTACAGATTTGCCTCCTTCGCTACAATGCTATGTGCCACTCCTTTTGAACGTAAAGATGTTATCACTAGTTCCAATACACGTGTATGATTGTAATGTCAACAGCTGCCACAAGAGGTCATTACATGCTGTGTGCACCTGATGCCTGCCCTTTGCTTTGTAATTCAAAGCAGTTTTCAGGCTTATTGTTGAATGGTCTCAAAGGTTTAGACTTTGAGTTCAAACAATTCTCCACTTCAGGATTCTGTATTCCTTTGTAGCATCCTTAAGTCTGGCAACCAGATTCAAGGAACAGACTGAATGGACAGGACAGTATCTTACCTAGCAGTTGCCAGAGATTAGACGACTACTATACAGGAAAAATTCAGAGGTTAGTATCCTACCTATAGCCACAGTGCTGCTGAAGAGATGGAAAGAAAAATGATTAAGGGCTGTGATAAAAAACAGTTCTTCGTGGGAACTCATTCTCTGCTCTGGGTACTTTATGGACATTATCCCACTTAATGCCCTTGAGAACAATCCTGCTCGCCTTTCTTGTTGCAGGCCGTGGGGACACAGGGACAATGGCGCCTCTGTAGAAGTCTCACATTGTGCTAAGAGGCCCCTCCCTTAATAGATCCATTTTGCTGACAAAAATCGCCAGTTTGCCTTAGCAGGAGCAGTACCCATATTATCACAGGTGAACACCTGGCAGAACTTCATTCCCAATGCTAAAAGGTACATTTTAGGGAGTGACACAGCCACCCTGACTTTTCTAGTCTGCAAGATCAATGAAGCGGTAACTCTCTTCACTGCAGTGGTGTGCGAGCTCACAATCATCCCTCAGCACTACCATTACAGTTACCTGCCTGTGGTTTCTATTTCTTGCTTTGGCACTTTATGTGCCATCTGGATTTCTCAAAACAATCAATCTATCTCTTGTTATATTTCCTCCATTCGCTACCAATTAATTTCATAGGAAAGGCCCCTAAGCCCATGTATCTGGGCTTGTCTCAAACATACACAAAGAAATGCGAAAACCTCATTTAAAAATCTATTGGTTCAGAGTTTTCATGAAATACATTTTCAAAGGCAGACATCACATAAGAAGAAACTGGTGTACTGACCACCCAAGGATCCTTACAGTTTCCAACAACTCTTAGTATGCTGACAATTGAGCACAGAAGCTCAGAGTTGGGACTCCAGAGTCAGACAGCTCTGGGTTGGAATTCCAGCTCCACCACCTCCTACATGAATGCCCTTAGTTTCCTCATTTGTACAATAGTGGTAATACTACTACCTGCCTCATAAATGGTATGGCAGTACAGGGTAGTGCAATGTGTCAGAAATCAAGCAAAACAAGGGAGGGAAGGAATACTTATGGAGCACATTTCCCTTAGCCCCCAAGGAAGTACTTTAAAGTGTTTAATCCCAATGTGGAAAAGGGCAAGGCATGCCCACTTTACAGATGAGGAAACCAGGTCTGATACAAATGTGTACAAGGTCACAGAGAAAGCGAAAGAGCTGGAATCCAAACCCAAGGCTGCTGACTCTAAAGCCTACCTTCTTCTACCATATAAGGCTATAAAAGTAGTCAAGAATGTCAAAGCTGAAGAAGTAGAAAAGAAAAAAGAGTGAAGAGGACACTGCATCAGGTGATAAACAGAAGTGAATAAAAACTTATCTGTGTAATCTGGATAGCAAAGGGGAAGATAAAGTCTGGATGGTAGCTTGAAGAAAAACAGGGTCAAGGGAAGGCTTTTTAAATTTTTTTTGGAGGAAAGCTTTTTGAAAATAATGGCAGAAAAAAATGTGCCACTAACTCAAGAAGGTAAAATTGAGGATACTGAAAGAGGGAGATGACTGATGTAATTAATTCCTAACAGAGGCAGGAAAGGACGGAATGAGAGCACAGATGGGGCCCTTGGCAAAGAATGAGAAACATGTTAGAAGAAATCAAAGGGAAGATGAAAAAGTTAAAGGAGTACATTTAATATAGCTTCAATCATTAAAAAGGAAATACATAAGACTCGTCTGAAAAATTTGATAAATGATTAGGACTTGAAACTTCAGCTATCTCAGAAATGTACATTGATATAATTCTGTACCCACATAACGTAGTGAACATATTTCTACTTCTTGTAAAACACTGGCCAGTGTTCTAACCAATTTATCTGACCTGTGAAAGAGTAGTTGTTTAAAGAATAATTAGTGGGAAAGAAGATAGTTGTCCCCCTGCTTTCCAAGAGCCAACATCTTTTTTTCCTTTATCAAATGATTCACATTCTCATCTCAATTCAACAATATTACTGAGCATTTATTATGCAACAGACACTTCATGAGTGATAATAATAAACAGGACAGTGTCCTTGCACTCAAATATTATCAGCATTATAATCATTGCCCTTTGGGTAAGACTCCCAGGTACTCTTCTTTTGACAAGCTTTGTCAAGTCCTGAGGAATTTCTAATAAAAGGAAAACTCACGTATTGCCTCTACCATCCCCCCGCCCCCCTTCAGGAGTCTCCCAGAACACCCAATAATATATAGTATGACATGCATTGTCACTAGAAAAACAATTTTCAACATGCCTACTGATACAATTAGAAACATATTCAATACACCTATTGATACAATTAGAAGAATTCTACCAAGTAGGCCTCAGGGTGACTGAAGGGCTAAACAGATAAGCACCAAATCTTCCTTTGATTCGCTGTATGATCTTAGAAAAATCATCTTTTAAGGTTTTTTCCCTTTATAAAAACAGGATATTATTTATAACATTCTCTAAAACTCTAGGCTCTTGTTAGATTTAATCCCCAAAGAAGGAATTTGTTACAGCTAATTTTATTTGTAAGCTCGACTGGGCCATGGGATGCCCAGATACTTGACTAAACGTCATTTCTGAGTGTGTCTGTGAGGGTGCTACTGGGCAAGATTAGCCTTTGAATCGGTGGACGGAGTAAAGCAGATGGCCCTACCCAGTGTGGGTGGGCATCATCCAATCTGCCGAGGGCTTCAACAGAACAAAAAGGTGAAGGAAGGCTGGATTAGGCCTCTCCTTTTTGCCTGACTCTTTGAGTTGGGACATCAAGTCTTCTCACATCTTCAAACTCAGACTCGAATCTACACAGACTGGCTGAATCTACACAGAGATGAACTGGCTCTCTATCTCTCAGGCCTTCAAACTACACCACCAGCTCTGCTGGGTCTTCAACTTGCAGACAGCAGATTGTGGGACTTCTCAGCCTGCAAAATTGCTTGATCCAATACCTTACAATAAATCTCTTCCTAGATATTTTATATATTGTTATATATATTTATTTATTTATTTATTTATATATGTAATATATATATATTTATTTATCTCTTGTTTCTCTGGAGAACCCTAATATAGAACTCTGTTTAGAAGTCATCTATTAATATATTTAAATCATTTTACTTTTTAAAAATACATTAAAAATAGTTCCTACTGAAGACTTTCTATTAAGAACTAAAAAAAGTAAAAAAGGGCTGGGCGAGGTAGCTCACGCCTGTAATCCTAGCACTCTGGGAGGCCGAGGCGGGCGGATTGCTCTGCTCGAGGTCAGGAGTTCGAAACCAGCCTGAGCTAGAGCGAGACCCCGTCTCTACTATAAATAGAAAGAAATTAATTGGCCAACTAATACATATAGAAAAAATTAGCCGGGCATGGTGGCGCATGCCTGTTGTCCCAGCTACCTGGGAGGCTGAGGCAGCAGGATCACTTGAGCCCAGGAGTTTGAGGTTGCTGTGAGCTAGGCTGACGCCATGGCACTCACTCTAGCCTGGGCAACAAAGTGAGACTCTGTCTCAAAAAAAAAAAAAGTAAAAAAGAAATAAATATTTAAAATTTTTTAAATAAAAAAAAAGAAAAAAAAATAGTGCTGATACTGATTTCCATTAAGTAGAGAGACAATGAACAGGAAATGAGGGCTTAAGAAGCTAATTAAAGGAAACAAATTGGTTTGTTCCCTATCTAACTGAAAGGAATACATAAAGGTGTAGGATGAATAAACATGGGTGTAATTTTGCTGTCCTCTGAATACAGGCTATAGTATACCATTTTGTGGTTGCTTACAATATTGCCACTAAAGATCTGAAGCTGTGTTGTGTTTTTGTTTAAATGGGAAACATCTCTTAGCATCTGCCTTCAGGGTTGAATGAAATTAAATTGAAGGAAGAATTTAAACCTAATAAATCACATCATCTGTTATTTTCAAACCAGGAAACAAAAGTCCTGTTATATCTTGCATATTAAATAGGTCTTTGATTTTTTAAACTAGTTTAAATCAGTCATAGTTAGATTTATGTTTTGCTATGAATTGTAAATATTTTTCTAAATAATTATCTTATATGTTATATACTTCTATCTATAAATCTTTTCAAGGCGTATTTAGACAACAAACCAATACAAAATACTTAAACTAGAACAAATCAAAGTCTACTTCACTGATTAGTACAGTTTCACAGAAACATTTTTTAATGTATTTTCACCATTCTGAAATGTCATGTTACCATATAAAGACCAAAAAGCCCTTTGCTTAAAGAAATGGCACTCGTATTTCTTTTATCTACAGTAAAAGGCTTAGGGCTAGTGCAAGAAGAGTGTCTTTTATAACCTGATCATAAGACTTTTCTGGTAATTTCCTAAAAGCATTATCAATTTAAATAAAATGAAAAGATAGTGTGTAAAGATGCAAGTATTGCCAATACACGATATCCTAAATGTTCACAATAGCGTTGAGGGGTCACTGAGGTCCATTAGTGAACTGGAAAACTGTTTTCTCTTCCTGTCTACATAAATTCATATATTTTCCCCTTAAAGTTAACTGTATTCTTGCCCCAAAGGCACAATGTATCCATCAACACTGCCATTAAACTGCTCTTATTAATAGCAATGAATAGTGTAGTATAATGGGTATCTTCAGCAAATATAATGCATACCTCTATAAAGCAAACTATTTTTAACATAATTTGGCATATCAATTTTATTTCTTAAATAGTTTTACTGACATATAACTTATATGGTAAAATTTGCTCATTTTAAGTGCCTAGTTCTATAAGTTTTATTTTGCTTTTTATTTTTTTAAGCAGGAGTGTTTTCTTTTTTTAATTTTTTTTTTATTTCAGCGTATTATGGGGATACAAATGTTTAGGTTATGTGTATTGCCCTTGCCCCACCTGAGTCAGAGCTTCAAGCTTGTCTATCCCCAGACAGTGCACACCACACCCATTAGGTGTGTATATTCCCACCCCCTACTCCCCTCCCATCTGCCTGACACCCGATGAATGTTATTACCATGTGTACACTTAAGTGTTGATCAGTTAATACCAATATGATGGTTAAGTACATGTGGATATTTTGTTTTTTAGAGACAGGGTCTTGCTATGTCACCCAGCCTGGAATACAGTGGTATGATCATAGCTCACTGTAACCTCAAACTCCTGAGCTCAAGCAATCCTCCTAGCTTAGCCTTCCAAGAAGCTGGGACTACAGGTGCATGCCAGCACACCTGGCTAAATTATTTTGCGTGTGTAGAGATGCGGTCTCTGAGCAAATTTCAGCATATAAGTTATATGTCAGTAAAACTATTTCAGAAATAAAATCGAGAAAGATTTTTAAAACACTGTATGTTTTTATTTAATGATTGACAAATACACTGAACAGATTGTGTTCTTCCTCACAATCTTGGAGAGAAAGGAACCTCTAAGACATAAAGTAGATGGTTGCAACTTAGAGGACACAGACATAGACTAGATCATGGGGACCTGCAGAAGAGACAGGAATCCCCAAAGAGCTCTACAGGGCCTAGGAGAAATCCCAAAGGCTTACTGGCAAAAGTGTTAGAATCTTTTTAAAAATCTTTTCAAACATTTGATCTGCAAACCTTTCAACAAATCACTAACAACTATTTTCTCCTTCAGAATTTTTTCTGTGTTTCTAGCTGACATAATTAAAAGCAGCCCTGTACCTAAGCTCTGCGAGGAAGACTCAGTGGGAATGTTTCGATCCTCACATCATGTTCCCAGCAGACACTAATAATCTGGAGCTACGTTCATTTGCCAGAGCTGTAGATCCACTGTATAAAAATGAAAACCTGTCCTTCCAATGAGAGTGCTTATCATGATCCCAGCTGTGATTTGTGGTTTGTCAAGTATTCGTCTCTGAATACAGAATAACCATATAGCCAGAGGAATGGAAAGAAAATTGAAAGACTATATAGTTCCTAACCCTCCATTTTAGGGTAGGCCATTGGTTTTAAAATAATATGGTTAGTTGCATATCTGTACTGCTTTAAAGTGACACCACATTGCCTATAAGGTTATATGCTGCATGAATACTTTCAAATGAAGTTGCTAAGTGAATAATTACTTAGGCCCTATTGCTGGGAGAAAAAAATAGGAACACTAGTTTTTATATTGCTTTGGAAACAACAGAACCAACTTAAAGTCAGAATCCTTGAAAAACAAAACAATTTACATTTACATAATCACTCCTAAAAGTTAATATTAATAGTAACAATCTACATTTGTGAGTTAGGGAAATACATGGCTGAGCTACCCACTCTAATTTATGCCTATCCTTGAAAGTTAATAAAATTCTAATACTAAATAAGATCCTAAGAGACAATTTGAGATTTCCTCCATAAGAATACAGTAACAATAGGGAAATGTTTTCATCTTCACAAGACTTTATTAAAATGTTTGTAAGTTTTCTGACAACTGAAATACTGTGATTATATCTATAAATAGAAAAATATTATAAGATAAAGACAGGCCAAAACACCTTTTAAAAGTATGAAGAAACATACTTTTTCTCTCCTTTGTGTAGAAGTCTGAAATACTCCAAGTTTCATCATCATACAATATGTCCAAGAATATCAATACCTAGTATGCACACATTTATACAAAAATAGCTTTTCTTCTCCTGTTACTAGTTGAGTTATACTGTAGAAAGATCAAAGTGTACCTAATGCAGAAACACTGCTTAAGACTCACTTAAGGTGGCAGATGGAGTCTCTTGCTAGTTTAAAAAGGATCACTTTTTTATTAAACCTCCTGCTTAGAAAAAACATATGCTGATCTACTGCATATTAAATAGAATTTATAGATCAATGTCACAATTGCAGTATACCATAAAGTGACTATTCTTTAGTGACTCAACCCTTCTAATAAAAATGTCCCTAAAACTTTCCCCCACAGGACAAGGAGGACTATTTAGAAATGAAACATGCTTACTAAAGTCCTTCTCTGCTACATTCAAAGGACATAAACCAGCTTGGCTTTTTCCCTCAACAATTTAGACACAGCACTTGGGTTTAGGTCAAGGCTAGTGTAACTATTTTCTGAAGCTCGCCTGAATTTGGAAAAAAAAGACAACAAGAAAACAATGCAGGGGGCTAAGTCACTACCACAGAGCACCCTTACCCCTCAGAGAGGCTTTCCTGTCACAAGACTTCACCATGCTCAGGGCAGAAAGGAGCTCAATATTACCTTCAACTGCTCTAGGGCAAAAGATGAACCATCTTGCCGTAAGTTTTCAATAATCTGCTCCATGGTATTGGCTGAAAAACAACTATAAAAAAAGGAAACACGATTTCATCAATGTGCAAATGATTTCTTATTTCTAACATACCAATGAATCTGAACACAGGCCTACCCCACCCCCCATTTCAATAATGAAGAATTTTCCAATCTATTTTACAAGATGGTGAAATAGAACATTGCTTCCCTAGGTAAGCGTTTGCAGTCTACCTTCACTAATGCAAAATACAACCTAAATTTTCTCTTTCGCTTTCTTGCATCTATTGTATTTATACGTAAATAAGTATTTCAGCTGTGAAAAACTGATGCTTCTAAAATGTAGACATGGCTGTCTTAATTTCCAGTAGTTTTCCTCCTCTTGTTTCCTGAAGCTACTCTATCTCTCAAAATCATTGCACAAACCTTTTTGCTGATCACCTTGATAAGACCTTAGATGATAACTTCACAAAGATAAAAGTTAATTCAATTATTTTCTAGCCTCTCCCACTTAAATAACAAATGATGTTTTGCACTAAGATGAATTAGCATGGTAGATTACTTAAATTTAATGAACTTATTTTGCCTAGAAAGAATGGAAAAGAAGCTACTTTCAGAGGTAAGTGAAAATAAAAGCACTATGCTATCTGATCTCAGAATTCTATGCATTATCAAACATAATGCAATTACAGTGTTAGCAATTTCAATGTAATATAGTCTTTCCAAAGGGGTAAATATAATTGAGATCTCTTTAAGTACCTGTTTATTTTGTCCATGTGTTCCTCAAGTACAAAAGACTTGTCTTTATCAATCTTGGACTGTTTGAAAAGAAAAGTCTTTTAATAAATTTGAAGTATAATTTTTAATTATTATAAATTTCATATTTAATGACACTTTGTGACAGATTATCACTTCCAAATTACATCTACAAGCCTCAAGTAACTACTGTTGTATGCTCAAAATTCACAGTATGTAGTACTCTAGTTCTTAAAAGTATGGAGTGTAAAAGTGTTCTTGTATTTTTATTTATATGTCATTATGTATGGTACATTATCATTAAAATGTTATCTATACATTTAAGGACTATAAGAGACCTGAGAGGTCATCCTGCCCCAATGTCCATCTGAGCTAGTAATTTCCACTACATCCCTGGTATGCCTGCAGCTCTGACTTCCGGGGTGAGAAAATAGTACCCCAGGAAGAAGCTCACAGGTGCAGGAACAACTATGATAATTAGGTTTTTGATATTATTTTAATTCTGGACCAAAAATCAGTTCTCTCATGTTCATAGTTGTAGTTAATCTCTTTCACCTTAATCATTTCCCACATGGCACACACAGTTCTGTGTCCCCTCACAATCTAGGTGACTTGTTCTTATGGACAAGTTCCAGTTTATCAAGGTCATTCTTCAAGTGTAGGACACATACCTTAGCTACAGGTGTGGCTGGATAATAGAAAAGTAGAGAGGGTTCCACGTGCCCTTGTCTGCATGGATACAACACTTTTACTAATAGCACTAACTCTGGGTTATTGCTGAGGCAGGCCTATTATGCAGCTGATATACACTGAGCTCCAATCAATAAAAACTGTCTTTTTTTTTCCAACCTGTGTCATTGTAAGCTGTTTCTCCCTCATCCTGTAATTATGAATTTAGTACTTTGGACTGAAGTGCAATATTTTCATTTACCTTTATTAAATTTTATATTGTTACTATTAAACATCACTCTAAACTCAAAGGATTGTTTTTTCATCCATATTCTTTTGCCTAATTTATTTTTCTTAGTTTCAAATCAACTTGATCAAAATGCTGTCAACAGTCTCATCGAAATCACTGAGAAAATACTGAGTCCAAGATGACTTCCCTATAGACTAATCCTACACTTTTAACAGAACTCTTTGATAAGGCCCTCAACCCCCACATACCACAATCTGTCCCATAGGTACCCAGCTCGATAACATGAGACTGTTAAATGCTCTGATAAAAAGGGATGAAGTCCTCATGTGCTCTGTAACCATATTGCACTGCATATTCACTGTACTCAGTGGCCCTGTCAACCCGCACTCGTGTTCTTCAGTTCTGGGTAATTTTTTTGTTCTATTTCTCTAAACACTTCCTTCCTTCTATCTTCTATTATGAATTCCTAATGATTAGATATTGGACCTCCTGGAATAATACCTCTAGTTGTCTATTATCTCACTTTTCCATCTCATTATTCTCCTTAGTTTTCCTCGATCATCAATTTTAATCTATTTGTTGTGGGTTTTTTCCATTTTTGCTTTCCTATTTTTAATTTACAGGCAAAATTTGTTTACTACACTTTTGTTTATTGTACTTTGCAGAGACTGCACTTTATATATATATATATTTTTTTACAAACTGAAGATTTGTGGTAACCCTGCATCACAAGTCCATCAGCACCATTTTTCCAACAGCATGTGCTCACTTTGTGTCTGTGTCACATGTTGGTAATTCTTGCAAAATTTCAAACTTTTCATAATTGTTATATCTGCTGTGGTGATCTGTGATTAGTGATCTTTGATGTTATCATTGTATAATAATTGTTTTAGGATGTCCTGAACCATGCCCATGTAAGACAGTGAACTTAATCGATAAGTGTTGTGAATGTTCTGACTGTTTCTCCTACTGGCCATTCCCTGACTCACTTTTCTAGAGCCTCCCTGTTCCCTGAGGCATGACAATATTGGTATTAGGCTAATTAATAACCCTACAATGACCTCTAAGTGTTCAAGTAAAAAGAAGAGTCACATGTCTCTCACTTTAAATCAAAAGGTAAAAATAATTAAGCTTAGTGAGGAAGGCATGTCCGAAGCCAAAAGAAGCCAAAAAGCTAGGCCTCCTGTGCCAAAAATGCCTGCTAGCCAAGCTGTGACTGCAAAGAAAAGTTCTTGAAGGAAATTAAAAGTGCTATTGCAGTGAATACACGAATGATAAGAAAGTGAAACAGCCTTATTGCTAATATGGAGAAAGTTTGAGTGGTCTGGATACATCTAACCATCTACAGCATTTCATCAAGCCAAAGCTTAATCCAGAGCAAGGCCCTAACTCTTTAATTCTATGAAAGCTGAGAAAGGCAAGGAAGCTCCAGAAGAAAAGTTTGAAGCTATCAAAGGTTGCGTCATGAGATTTAAGAAAAGAAACCATCTCCATAACATAAAAGTGCAAGATGAAGCAGCAAGTGCTGATGGAAAAGTTGCAACGAGTCATCCAAAAGATCTAAAAACATCACTGATGAAGGTGGCTACACTAATAACAAGAGTTTCAATGTAGACACAACAGCCTTCTATTGGAAGAAAATGCCATCTAGGACTTTCATAGCTAGAGAGAAGTCAATGCCCAGCTTCAAAGCTTCAAAGGGCAGGCTGACTCTCTTGTTAGGGGATAATGATGTAACTGGTGACTAACTTGAAGCCAACCCTCATTTACCATTCTGCAAATCCTAGGGCCTTTAAGAATTATGTTAAGTCGACTCTGCCTATGCTCTACAAATAAAGCCTGGATGACAGCACATCTGTTGACAGCATGGTTTACTAAATATTTTAAGCTCACTGTTGAGAACTACTGCTCAGGAAAAAAAGATTATTTTCAAAATATTACTGCCCACTGACAATGCACCTAGTCAGCCAAAAGCTCTGATGGAGACACATAAGTAGATCAATGATGTTTTCATGTCTGATAACACAATATCCATTCTTCAGCCCATGGATCAAGGAATAATTTTGACTTTTACATCTTAGTATTAATAGTTAAGAAATATAGTTTGTAAGGCTATATAGCTGCCAGAGATAGTGATTCTTCCAATGGATCTGGGCAAAAACAAAAGTGAAAACCTCCTGGAAAGGATTCACCATGCTAGATGCCATTAAGAACATCTGTGATTCACAGAAGCCGGTCTAACTATCAACATTAATAGGAGTTTGGAAGAAGGTGATTCCAACCCTCATGTATGACATTGAGGAGTTCAAGACTTCAGAGGAGGAAGTAAGTGCAAATGTGGTAGAAACTGCAAGGTAACTAGAATTAGAAGTGGAACCTGGAGATGTGACTGAATTGCTGCAATTTCATGATAAAGCTTGAACAGGTAAGGAATTGCTTCTTATGAATGAGCAAAGAAAGCAGTTTCTAGAGATGCAAACTACTCCTGTTTAAGATGCTGTGAACATTGCTGAAATGACAAAGGATTTAGAATATTCTATAAATTTAGTTGATAAAGCAGCAGCAGGGTTTGAGAGGATTGACTCCAATTTTGAAAGAAATTCTACTGTGGGGAAAATACTATCAAACAGCATCACACGTTCCAGAGAAATCTTTTGTGAAAGGAAGAGTCAATGGATGTGGCAAACGTCACTACAGTCTTAATTTAAGCAATCACCACAGCCACTCCCAACCTTCAGCAACCACCACCCTGATGGGTCAACATCCATCTACATCGAGGTAAGACCATCCACTAGCAAAGAGATTACAACTTAATAGACTACACACACTCAATAGACTACAGCATAGTAAAAACGTTTTTATATGCACTGGGAAACCAAAAAATTTGTGTGACTAGCTTTACTGTGGTGGTCTGGAACTAAACCCACAAAAATCTCTGAGTATACCCTGTTATTGTCCTTTGCATTCTTCTCTTTACAACATCTATCATCGTTTCATAGATAAAATGTTTTCCTCTTATCTGAAGATAAAAATTATAGCTTGGTGTTTTTGTGGGGTTTTTTTCCTCCTCCTTCCATTGTCTGCTTCCTTCCAGTGCCTTTTTGTTTTGGCCCAGCAAAACATGTTATTCTGTGTGATGTACTAAAATTTGTAATCATTGTGTATAATATAAATTGCAGTTCTAGGACTGTCAATTATATGATACATTATAAGATGATCAGGCAAGTTCCTGGGTGTGTTATTAAGAAGTCCATGAATGTTCTTACTGACGGGTTTTTTCCTTTTTCTTCCAATGCATTGCTTGGGAATGAGGTAGTATACAACAGTTCTGTAAGCCAACTAGGGAAAGGGGCTAGAGGTCTTCCCCATTTATTTAGGTCATTAAATATGAAATGTCTGATTTCAAACCAAAAGTTTAGCTTATTATATCTCAAACAAGAAGCAGTACAATTAATCAGCTATGTACCTAAACTAGGTTTTAGCCATCTCAAGGGTAGCCTGTCTATGCCAACAGCGAAGAAGCCTGGAGAGCAAGTGGTGATGAAATTGCAAAAGGCATTTTCCACAGCTTGTTGAGAATTGAAGATTTTTTTCCTTGCAAGAACTGGTCGAATACCTAGAAGAATTGGTAGTCAATTGGTGCAAATTCTGGTGAATATGGTGGATGACAGAGTTTCCAAGTCCAGCTTCTGTAGTTTGAGCAGCGTTGTTTTTTGTGACATATGGTCTTCCAAGAGGATTGGTCCGTCTCTAATTGACCAAACTCAGCTGCTTAATTGCAAGCATCCTCATCATTTTGTCCAATTGGTTGCAGTAGACATCCACTGTAATCAACTGACCAGGTTTCATGAAGCTGTAGTGGGTAATGCCAATACTGGACTACCACACAGACACCATTAGCTTTTTTGGATAAATATTTGGTTTTGGACTGTGCTTTGGCACTTCATCTTTATCCAACCATTGTGCCAAACAATTGCAATTGTCAAAAAGAATCCATTTTTCGTCACACATTATATGGTGTAGAAATGGTTTACCTTTATATCAAGACAGCAAAGAAAGGCAAACTTTGAGACAATTTATCTTCTGAATGCTCGTTTAATTCATGTGGAACCCATCTATCCAGCTTCTTTACCTTGCAAATTTGTTTCAAATAGTCCAATATTGTTGGAATAGTAATGTCAAACCTTGCTAATTCACAGTAGGTTGAGGTGGATTTGTTTCCACTATAGTTTTCAGTTCATCATTATCCACCTAGGTCTCAGGTTACCCACATGCCTCATTTTCAAGATTAAAATCACCAGAATGGAACTTCTCCAACCATCAACATACTGTGCATTCATCAGCCACATCCTTCCCAAAAAATTCATTGATATTTTGAGCTGTCTGCACTGCACTGGTTCCATGACAGAACGCATACTCGAAAACAACACAACTTTTTGACTTATCCATGGTTTCACAAAAACTGCTTTAAGAAAAACTACAACAATCACAAGCCAAACCATGTGTTTGCAAGAATGATCCTTTGCAATAAAAATAAAACAAGAATGTCAAAGTGAAATGTCATAGATAACAACTGTCAAACTTAGTACTTAAGGAAATCAGACATTTCATACTTAATAACCTAATAGTATGCTTCTCCTCTTTTCAATATAGCATCTCACCCATCTTGCCCTCAGGTAGACCTGTTTCCTATTTGATTTGGTCTAAGGAGTAAAGCCTCTACTCTTCTGCCAGACTATGAGAGGACATCTGCTCTTGGTTGTACAGAACCAACTTTTGGAGGTCTAACGGCTGTTTATAAAAACTTACCAGAAATCTTTTTTTTTCTACCCTACTCCACGCCCCAGTTTTCCAAGGGACTTGGTGACTTTAGAAAAGTCTACAGCAAGAATCGGCTGGCTTTTTACTGGCTTCCCCCACTGAAGGAGATGATTTCAGCATTCTTAGTCTAAGTTGCCCCCACCTTTCTGATTTCAAGCTTCCAAAATACTGACTTCTCAAGTCTACCACTGTCTCCTCATCTGTTCCATTTGTCATTGCAGATTTATGTCTTTTTTTATTCCTTTATTACAATTTCAGTGGAGTTTTAGGAGGAAGCATGTATTTAAATCATCATGTTTAACTAGAAGTCATGCAGTGTTTTTAAAGATTCTTGGCTCTTGCAAGAAAATTTAAGTCAGACAACGTAAGGAATTAAATGCTACAATATACTTTATTATTAAATGGATATATATCAGAGTTTCACTTTAGCAGCTCTAGGAATAGTGTCAACACTGAACATCCATTACAGAAATGCCATACTGTGTTGTAAAAAGCCTTTGCAAGGGCTGACCACGAGGCAATGTACTGAAGTTCCCTGAAATGGGAAGACAACTGTGCAGCTGCACCGTAAAGAAGCCATCTTACTAGGTGGCTATCCTAATAATTGTGAAACACTGATACTCCCACCCAGCTTTAAAGTATAATAAATAAATCCCCAGTACATTTATTTACATCCACCAACTGCTAATTTTTTAATCACTTTCCTTTCCCCATGAATTAAAACCTGAAGTTAGTACATTAACAAGATTACCTCTGTATGGTAAGATTCTAAGACATCTGCAATATTTTCTTTTGAAGGAGATTTCAAGGCTAACAAATCTTCCTCTAGCATGCTCAACTAAAGAGGGAAAAAAAAAGGAAAACAAATTTGAAACCCCACAGAAACACAGAAAGCTTCTTTAAAATCTCATATTCTTTTTTAGAATCCTCGTCTTAAAATCATGATGCTCTCTCTTTAGCTGAGTCACTGAAAGACATTTTGACTGAAGTTGATACATTTTTATTCATTAAAAAATATTCACTGAAGGTGCATAGGCATTCCCACACAGCAAATGTTGCCTCAACGGGAATGGATAAAGATAGAAGACAAATAAATACATTTACCTTTGTTTCCCTCTGGCTATGGAGCACTTGAAATGTGGTATTGTGACCAAAGATCCAGGTTATAAATTTTATTTTGAATTAATTTTAATTAAAATTGCCATACATGATCAGTGGCTATCGCAGTCAAGGCACAACACAATAATATAATATAGCTCCACTTACCTCTCCATCTAATCCCTTACATGTGTATCCTACACTCAGCCAAACAGGACTTTTTACTGTTTCTAAAATGTAGCTAACACTTTCCTACCCCTGTGGTTTCATTAAACGCTTCCTCTACTTGGAATGTCTTTTCCTGATAATACTCACCTTAAGGCCAGGTGAACTGCAAACTATGAAAAAACTTCTAGTCCTTTTTTTACAGGTAAGCTCTTCCTCCTTTCAATACTCTGAATATTTTCTTTGTATTTTATTTTTACACTTAACCACACTTTACTCTGCCAGATGATACAAATGGTTATTGAGATTTTACACTCACCTCTAACCCCATCCCCAAAGTGTATTAACTCATTTTTGTATCTTCTACAGGCCCTGAGTATGGCAGTCTACCACCAAGAGACATATTCTACCCATCCACGTGGTTCACAGGTGAGACAAGCCAGTCCAGCCAGAGTGAGCTAAATCAGCTGAAGCAGAATAAATCCCAGGTCTCTTGCTGGGAAATCTGGGGCAAAACTACCTTGAACTGGGTTTTCTGTTACATGTAACACAAGGAGTTTCAACTACTCTGGTAATACTGTCGTCCCATTTTTACAGATGGAAAAACTGCAAAACAGGGTCAGAGAAGGTAAATTCAAGCCAGGATTGATTTAAATTCCAGCTATCTACATATTCTTTGCCACTATGTTGTCCTGTGCTAAGAAAATTGGCCACACTGTTGAAACAAAGACGACAAAGTAACAAGTGTTCCACTGTAGATATGCTTTAGAAAAGTCACAAGATCATATTTTATAAATGCAATTATTTTAAATGCACTTGGGAAATGCACAACCAAGAAAACCCTTCAGAATGTCTTTATAAAATAAAAGCCTTTTTATATATAGATTTTTTTTTAGACTTAAAGTAGGCATTACTGAGATTCTAATTATTCATTTAAAAATATTCACTTGAAGGTGCCAGGCACAATAACTCCAAATTCGGAATTCATTATCTCCATTTTGTGTAAGAGGAAATTGAGAATTAGACGGGTTAAGCACCTTCCCCAAGATCACACAGATAGAAGCAATAGATCCAGGATTTCACACCCATGTCCACCAAAAGCCTGTGGTCTCAACCACTCCCAGCGCCTCCTCATGCAATATTTTGTGTTGTCATTCCAACAGCACAAAACACACATCCAAACAATTACCTTTTCAGAATCTACAAAGTGTGTAGCAATTCCTGCTCTGTACACATCTCTTCCTTTTAGTCTGAATCCTGTTAATGCAAGGAAGTAACCAAGTTTTCCTTGAAGTCTTGGCAAGAAATAACCTCCACCCACATCAGGAAATAATCCTGTAATTAAATATAACAAAAAGAGATAACAGTGATTCAAATGAAAGACCAATACAACCTCTTTACCTTTAGATCACACCACCATTTCTCTGTGGAGTCTGAATCTATACTATAAATATCATTAACCTAAGTACTATACAATACAATCGGTACCACAATAGACTTGTTTTTGTGCTATATAAAAATTGTGCTAACTTAACTTGGATATTTTTCAAAATCTTCCTGTCTTGTTTCTATAGAATTCAGTAAAGTATGTGATGACACAATGTTTTGTATGTGAGAAGTACTCAAAAACGTTACCTAAATTTTCTTAGCACTAATTTACTTTTTAAGAATCTGTGAAACAGGATTATTAATTATTTCCCGTGCTTATTATTCTTTCCAAATAATAAGCATGGGAAAAAACATATGTAATAACCTATGGGCTATTATATTATGGAAAAATTCATTAGTATCATTTAAATAATTTCCCAAATTTAGTCAATTACCTAATATTCAAGATATTTAAAGATTGATGCAATAACCTTTAGTCCTACTAAATGAACAAGTTTATACCTAATAAAATCACTTGCATTTACACTTTTCTTAACCATCAGTATTTTTAAAATTCCCTCTCTACTGGTAACAATTGAAAAATAGCATATATACAAACAATTGCCAGCATACTACTTTTGTTGTTTAAGGTTTCCTTAAACAATTGTAACACTCTAGTTTTATAATCCGTATATCTATTCCAAGGTTGCTTCATTTGATGAAGCTAACACAAAAACACAAGCACTCAAATTCTTTCCAGTTCTACTTGGCAAAAAGTTTCTAGACTTAAAAGAATAAGCAGCATGCTACTGTTAATAGAAACATCTCCTAGCATCTCAAGCCAGCTAAGTCTCCAGTTGGACTCACAACCTGTCCCACCATTCCCACCATCTTCCTCCAGCATCACCCACCTCAAAAAAGGATACAGTCATCCAGCCTCAATACCTTCTCTGGTATCACCAGAGACCTTGCCCCTTAATCCCTACCAGGAACTACAACCTGTTGATTCCTCCTCCAAACGGGTCTCCACACAATAGCCAAAGTGATCTTTTCAAAAAAACAAATCCTAATCAGAGTCTTATGTAAACATAACAAAAAAACCCTTCCATGGGTGCCTGCTTCTCTTGGATTAAAACAAACACCTCTATAAGTCTTCAAGGAGCCTAAACACTTGTTCAATTACATCTCTTACTGCTCACTTACCTCATTCCAGACACTCTGGCCTCCTTTCAGTTCCCTAACATTCTACACTCCTGCCTGCCTCATTCATCAGCAGAATTCTGCCCAAATGAAAACACCCTCAATCCTGAAATATGTTCTTCTCTTCCAGGCCACTACATTCTCTCTTTGCCCCCTTGCCTCAATTGTTGCTTCTTTCCAGTCTCCCTTGCTGGCTCCACTTCCTTTGCTTGAATTCTTGCTTTCTGTGCCTAGGCTTGATATGGGGCTATCTCCTCTTCCCTATGTATATTTTCCTTAGGTCCTATGACTTCGGATAGCTTTTATATGCTGATTACTCCCTGTTATGGACTCAACTGTGTCCCTCCAAAATCCCTATATTGAAGCTGTGAACTAAAATAAAATCCCAAGCCGCCCACTGAATGAATGAAGCCCTCTTGGCCAAGGGGACCCCAGAGAAAGCTCAAAACTCAGTTCTCAGCCATGACACAATGTGAAGTCAGACATGCCTCATTTTACCCCCTCCCTTGCTAATGGCCATCAGGTTTTTTTTCCTAAGGGCTAAATATAAACCAATCTCACGGTCCAGACACAGCATTCTTTCCTGGTAAGAGACCACCAACCATGAAGTGGGTTTAACCAGGAGTTTGAGGTTGAGCTATGATGACACTACTGCTCTCTAGCCCAGGCAACAGAGCAAGATGCTGTCTCCAAAAAAAAAAAAAAAAAAAAAAAAAAAAAAAAATTCCAAATAAAATTTTAGTAAAGCAAACCCAATAACATATAGAAAGGATAACACATCATATCAAAGTAAGATTTATCCTAGCAATGCATGGTTAGTTTAATGTAACACCAATCAGAGTAATTCACCATTAACAGACTAAGAAAAAAATTAGCAGCTCAGCAGATGCAAAAAAAAAAACATTTCACAAATCCCATTCATTCCTAATAAAAAAAACCCTCAGCAATCTGGGACTGGAAGGAAACTTCCTTACTCTGATAAAGGACACCTATGAAAAAGCTACACCTTAATATCAAACTTAATTGGTGAAAGACTGAATGCATTCTCTTAAGATCAGGAACAAGGGAAGAATGTCCACTCTCATCATTTCTATTCAATATTGAGAGTTCTACCCAGTGCAATAAGCAAGAGAAAGAAATAAAGCGTATCTAGATGAGAAAGGAAAAAGTAAAACTGACATTATTTGTAAATGACATAATTGTCTATTTAGGAATGCTAGTGCAATTTACAAAATAGCAACTAACACTAATAAGTGAGCTTGGTAAGTTTGCAGTGTATGAGGTCAATACAAAAATCAATTGTATTTCTATACTGGTAACTAACAATCAGAGCTGAAAATTTTTTTAAATTATAATTTATAATATACCTTGCTCACAGATCTGAAGACTCAATATTGTTTGGATGTCAATTTTCCCTAAATTGATCTACAGATTCTAGACAATCCAAATCAAAATCACAGGAGGCTTTTTTGTTGACATTGACAAACTCACCCTAAAATTCATATAGAAATACAAAGGACATAGCCAAAAGAACCTGAGGGGAAAAAAGAACAAAGCTGGAAGATTACTACTACCTGATTTCAAGACTAACTATAAAGCAACAGTAATCAAGATGAAGTGATATTGGCACCGAAATCAACATAAAATAGACAACTGACAAAGGAGCAAAGGCAATTCAGTGGCAAAATAACAGTCTTTTCAACAAATGGTGCTGGAATAATTGTAATTTCCATATACAAAATAATAACTTTGGTCTATATCTTTGATCTGTATCTCTCACCATATACAAAAATTAACTCAAAATGATCACAGATCTAAATGCAAGAATATATTACCTAAATAATCTTTTATCTAAAATTACTACAGTGTGTTTCTTCAGTTAATATTCTTGGTTTGTGTTTTCAGATACAATTATTGAGCTAATATAAACTTTTAGTTATTTTCCTGTTTAATTTCTTTTTGAAAGTTCTTTTATTGTATCTCACACAAAATTCCATCAATTCCTTCACCAGCATAATCTAAAATGCATCAAAAGATGATTCCAAAAGGAACCATTAAAACATTGTGTTTTTTTCGCTTTTTTTTTTTTTTTTTTTTTTTACCTATTGCTGTTTCTGGCATTGCAAAAAGAGACTTTTCTGTAGCCACTCGAAATTGCCCATGAACTGAGAGACCAACTCCCTAGAGAAATAAGGCAAAAAAAAAATGTTTAATATAATGTTTTAAAAAAAACATATTCACACACTCACAAACATTGCAAAGCAAGTGAAATGCCTTTAGATTCCATAGGAATTTGTTTCAGAAGATAGGCTGGAGGGTAGTTCTAAACCATACCATTTCAGACACATTTACTGGACAAAAATATATGGGAATCCCTGATATCCAAAGTAGATTTGTTTTAGCCAAGATATTTCCAATTAGTATTCTATGTTATGCTTCAGGTCCTCTTCCCCAATTCCCTGTCATTTCAAAACAGATACAGCATTTTAAAATAACTCTTCTCTGAAACACTGAGAGTTGCTTGTTAGTGTAATCAAAAGAGCAAAATCAAGTCAGGAGCAGTGGCAGGTGCCTGTAGTCTCAGCTACCTGGGAGGCTCAGCTGAGGTGGGAGGATCACTTGAGCCCAAGAGTTTGAGTCCAGCCTGGGCAACATAGTGAGACCCCATCTCTTTGAAAAAAGAAAAGAAATACAACCAAGCTATTCTAGCAAATTTCAGTTGCTTTGAATAGAATATTAACACAGTTTATTTATTCACATATTTTACAAAATAAAATTAGCAACATCATTTTTCTCAGATATAACATTTAACGGGGCCAATTATAAAACTCTCAAAAATTGGTTATTAGACACTCAAGTTTTAGAAAATGAAAAGATTTGGCTGAAAGTCTCCATCTCTGACTTGTTAAATGTCACTGAAAGCAAATATACCAATCATCTCTGAATACCAGATGTTTTTTAATAAGTTGAAATGAGAGGTACACACCTAATGACAAAGTACCCAGTTGCTCAGTTGCTCACATTGTAACATACATTTCCTATGTTATTTTCTTTTCACATTATTCAGAACTTCTATTTGATTCTTTTAGTTCTCATTCTTAATCCCTTTTCACCAGTTTCTCTTTGACATCAGATAATTAAATGACTTAAAGTATCTGGAACAATGTTAAGCTCTTAAAAGTTCTATAAATGTTAGCTAAAAAGAAAGGGCCTCATTTCTGGCTTCTTTTAATTTTTCACTACAATTTCCTCAACTCCTTAAAGTGTTTTCACACTCATTTCAGCAATTTATAAGTTCTTAAAGCTTTTAAGCATTTCATTAAGAAAATACTCAGGTTCGTACCCCCATAATATGATGAAATAAAAAAAATAGAAAATACTCAGAAAAACATATAATTTCTTATAAACTTTATGTACTGCATGCTAAGCTTAAAATTTAAAAGATCATGTCCATAAACATGAAAATGAATAAAATTCTTCAGTCACTACCTATATCCTTTGATGTCAACATTTATAAATTATACTCTGTATAAGCAAATATGATGTTATAGGTATTCAATTAGGACATAGTCAGAAAATATTAAATTATATATACTTCAAGACTACATAAAATCTTACAAATTCTTATAAAAATAAAACACTGGTTATATTAATCATTCCATATATTATTTTAAGTGCCCTTGCCTTATATTCTGTTCTCTTAGCTTATCACACTGCAACTGAAAGTTAAGGAATGTGTTGTTAAGAACTTTGAAACTGCTAATCTAGTCCAACCCTTTCTTTTAGACTATGTTCTATTGAGCCCTAGGACTCAGAAGAGCTGGATCAGTCTAGAGCTGCCCAGCAGGCGATCTCCAGGCCTCACTGGCTGACCCTGCCTCCATTATAACTCCTCTGGTTATGCCCCCACCTCTTTGAATTAACTTTGAATTCCACCAACAGCACATGACTATATTCCCCTTTATTAAACATTTACATATAAAGTCTGACAATAACCCTGATCCTAGTTTTGTCAGTCTCTCCCCAGAGTAACACAGTTATTATCAGTTTGGTAAGTAACTCTTCAGATTTTTGTCCCCCGATGTATTGCTAATATTTGAACAAATGTGTACATCTATATGATATATATATGTAATAACATGTAACTGTCTATATATAAAACTCAAGCTCTATTCCATGGCCTGCAAAACTCTACATAATCTGGCCCAGCCTACCTATCTATCTCCTACCACTCTTCCCATGCTCATTCTACTAGGCACAGGGGCTTTGGGTCATTCCTCCAAGATTTCAAGCTTTTACAATTTGAATTAATCATAACATTTTAAAGTAAGAAAGACATACCAGAAAAAGCCAATGCCTGTTCAATCACTACTTTTTTCCTCTAAAGGAATCCACTCTGCCCAGCAGTAGCTGAACCAGAAATGGGAACAGGACCCAAGGGCAGCCAATTGGGACTAACCAGAATACTGAGGGCTGGGGAATAATGGGGGTGGGGGAGGGTGTGAGTTAGATAAGGTTCTTACTATTAGTTATTTAAACTAAAACACAGTGGGCAGCTGTCAGTCGATGACAGGCAATGAAGCTTAAAGGTCATCTGAAATTCGAGCAACAGAAGACATGACAGCCAAGTAAACGCTGAAATTATATGGGGTAGGGACTAAAAAACTGAGAAAGCTGTAGCCTGTACAAGACAGAAAAACATATAAAAAGGTGTTTTTCTATCTCTATAGAAAGAAAAATAGGTGAATTTAATTTGCCTTAAATTCACATCTGCAGTCCAATTTTCAGAGAGATAAACTATGCTGTTTTGTCCTTCTATTCACATTTGATCCCTGAACTTGTCTAATAACTGCCCCATTCTTTTTTGTGGATTTGAGTGAGTCTCCATCCTTTTCAATTAAAAAAAAAAAAAGCCTCTTCACTAGGTTTTCAATTAGAACCAGACCTACATTCTATTATGCTTCAGCATCACACAATCAATGCAAGCCCCTTTAGTCCTTTGGCTCCCAGTATACACTCATTGCAATACTGCTCTTCCTCCCAACACAGCTTCCTAACACTGCTCTCCCTGACTAGCCATTCCCATTGCATCTTCTAGAATCCTCACTCCTTTACAAAAGAACAGTGTAACAGACCAACTTCTCTATAGAGGGCCCATTCCACATCCTGAACTCTAGAGAAAGAAATTTATAAGCCCCATATTTTTTCATTCGAACTATAGATCCTGTACTCATTGATTTAGTTCTTTACCCTGTATTACACGATATATTTCAGACTTGGCTGATGATAATAGTGAATGAAATAAAAGACTTCAAGATTTTAGTAAAAAGTTATTAATGAAAAGCTTTTGGAGTAACTGGCCAATGATACAAGTAGCATTAAGAGCCAATTTTAAAGCCTTTTGATAAAGATGTGAAGGCTGAGAATATTCAAGCCACCTGACTAGGAGATACTAGCAATATAAATCCTGATTCATACTGAATGGGATGTAGAACCCAATGGCAGGTTCATAACTAATTCTTCTACCTTACATAAAAGGATCCATTATAGGTTGCTTCCAAGAAGTCCCCCTTAACTTCTGAAATTTGATGTTATATTTTATTTAACCATTATTCTTAGTACTCATTTGCTAGACTAAAAAGGCTTCAAAGTTTTCAAGTTTTATTATATTAACTAATTTTTATAGATTCATTCTCCAAATGTTAACACTTTATTCCAATTCCTACTCTCCTCAAATACCCTCCCCATATTCTACTATACCCAGCAGTCAAATCTCATTTTTTATCTAAATGAATATATCAGTAGCATTTGACAGAGTTAAATACTCACTGCTACTTTATGAAACGCTTTACTTGGCTACGAGGTATATTTTCCTGGTTTTCTATTTCATTAGTTGCTCTTTCACTTGTTCCTGACATCAAAATGTTGATCTGTCACAATGATCAGATGTCATCCTTCTACTCTACTGCACCTACACTCTGTCCTGTCTACATTCATTCCCTGGGTGATCTCTTCCAGCCCCAGGATTTTAAGCACCATCTATAACATTAATGACTTAAATTATTTCTCCTTTCCTAATTTCTCTACTCAGCTGTTACTCTAGCTGCCTATTTAACATCTCCATTTGAGTGTCTTAAATAACTCAACCTTTATACATAATGTGCTCCTTCCCTATCTTCCCTATCTCAGTAAACAGCCATTCCCCCAGCTGTTCAGGCCAAACACCTCCACATTATCTTCCTTCCTTCTTAGCCCACAATCTAAGCTATGAACCATCTTAACTCTAACTTCAAAATACATCCTGAATTGGGCCACTTTTCATCATCTCCCCCAATACAACTCTACTTGAAGTCACCATCATCTCTAGTTTCTCTTGCTCTATTTATTCTTGCCACAGTCTATCCTCTACACAGAAGTCAAAGTAAGCTTATTAAAACATATAACACCTTATGTCATTTCCCTGCCCCCAAATTCTCCAGTGACTTCTCATCATATTAAACTATTAATATTATCATCATGGCTGATAAGGTCCTGTGTGATCTGGTCCCTTTCTACCTTCCTGATCATGTGGTCTCCCATTGCCCACTTCCATCACTTTCATTCTGGTAAGCCACACTGGCTTTTGTTTTTCCACTTTCTTAAGTGACATCTAATATATACTTAAAAGCACATAAACAGTAACAAGTAGTAAGTATTAAAAGTAAGCATGCAGTTTCAGTGAATTATCTTAAAATGTAAACTCAGATCAAAATGATCAGAAATTCCTTTATGCACCCTGTCAGTCACTACACCTCCGTCTTTCAAGTAAATACTATCCTGACCTCTAACAAAAGATTAGTGTTTTTTCTGGTTTTTATCTAGATATAAATAGAATCATAGAATATATATATTATCATCTGGCTTCTTTCAGTCAACATTATGTTTGTGAGGTTGATTCATGTTCTTGTGTGTAGACATAATTTGTTCTTCTTCATTGCATAGCATCTCTTTGTATGAATAAGCAACAATTTGTTAATCCATTCTATTGTATATAGCTATCTGGGTTGTTTCCCATTTATAGCTATCACAAATAACAATTCAATAACCATTGTTATACATATCTTTTGGTGCATGTGTGTACACATTTTGGTTGGGTATATATCAGGGAGTAAAACTGTTAAGTAAAAGAGTATTAATTCATT